CAGATACAGGTTACTACTGCACGCACCTGCGGATGTGATTCGCGGCGGCGTAGAAGCAGTAGTTGGCCGTCGCGCAGGCGGTGGAGATGGAATAGTTCGGGCCCATGAGGCCAAGCTCGATGGCGAGCAGCGCGGAGCCCATGTTGGTGATGGCGTAGGGGATGAAGAAGGGCGTGATGCGCTTGTACCCCTTCTCCAGCAGTGCCTTCACGCCGTCCGAATACACCGTCAGCCCGCCCATGCCCGACCCGATGATCACGCCCACCTTCTGCTTGTCCACCTGCGGGTAGGATGGGGAAATAGGGCCGCGTTCGCGACCAGAGACACTGCGAATTGATGGTCGAAGTAAAGTTACGTTATGTCATACAACAAGCTCCACGGATTGTCGGCCTATGCCACGCTTTACATGACGAGAAAAAAATTCTGACGTAAGAACATAAAAATCCCTCTCGAGGCAATCAGCACCACCATACTGTACCCTGCACTGGTCATGGCATACCTCATCCGCAACGCGTCCGCGTCATTCATTGTTTTACGACTAACCTTATCCATGCCATGTCCACGCCAATCCTGATTCTACGGTATCCAGGTCGTACCAGCAATTGTTGTTCAGTTTAGGCCATAACCACCATCGACCATCGCTGTCATGAACAGCATACCTTGTTACGATCGTTGCCTCCGAGCCCAGCGCCGACCAGAGCCTTCTTTCCGCCGACGATCGCGTACCGCAGGCAATCACCCGGTACCAACCCTTGTTGCTTAACCGATAGCCACCATACACAGCTCACTTGTTTCTGAGGCGATTTCAACGTAGGAACCACTGGTGCTCGGGAGACAGCCACAGGCGACAATCACACGGAAAAATCATTATACACAGCATACCTTGTTCAAGTCGTCCCCTCCGAGGCCGAGTGTAGAGGGTGTTTTTGAGACGTCTCAAAAACACCCCCTCTACACAGGCGACAATCACACGGAACAATCATCATACACAGCATACCTTGTTCAAGTCGTCCCCTCCGAGCCCGGCGTCGATCAGAGCCTTCTTCCCGCCGACGATCGCGTACCGCAGGCAGTCGTCCAGCCGGCGGTCGTTCTTGCCGTCGATCAGGCCCTCGTTGGAGAAATTCCGGATTTGCGCCGCGAACTGCGTGGGGAACTTGGTGGCGTCGAAGCGGTCGATATAGTCCACCCCGCTAACGCCGGCGAGCAGCTTGTCGTAGTAGGTGTTCACGTCGTTGCCGAATACGGAGCAGAGGCCCATTCCAGTGATCACGACGCGCTTCTTCGGGTCGGTTTCCCGCTTCGGCGCTGTCGCTGCAGCGCGAACGGCGGTGGTGGCTCTTCTTGCTGAAAAGGGGGGATTAGACGTAGCAGTTGTTAATACGCGTGAAAAGATTTCTGGCTAAGCAGAGGAAAGGAAGAAGTAAGCAGGTTGGAAACCAGTAGAGACACTGAACGAGGCAAATGGAATAAAATCTGGCATGGTGGCTATTTGGACTAGGAAGATTGAAGTCGTGCGATACGAAGATGTAACCGTACACCCCTGCTACAATCCACTGTTACCTGTACGGTTACGATCATCACACGCTCCTAGATGCTAACCTAAAATCGCTAAGCTCCACAGGAACCAAATCCTTCGACGATAACCTACCTTGCCTCTTGACGGAGACAACATCCTTCTGACGGAGCGCGCACCCCAGAAGGTCGGATTGCCTCAAGCTGGCTGAGGCCTCTGCTGCCAGAGAGCAGCTCTGGACGGAGGTGCTTAGCCCTGACCCTAGGCAAGTGGCCATGTCTGCGTGGTATATTTCACGAGCTTAGAGATGCTTAGCAGACACGTGACCAGAGGAAATTGGATCAGGAATCTACGTAAAAAAGGGTCCTCAATTAGGCAAGAGCAAATTAAGCTTCTGGAAGGAAGAGCTGAGGAATATGATCAGGGAGGGAGACCATGGCGTAAACGGAATGCAACAGACGGGAGATACTGGTTGGCCCGTCATACGAAAAGTTTAACGGAGCGACCTCGCGGAAAGGGGTACCTTTTAGATAAAGCATATTTTTGTTTCCAGTACTCATACTTAGCATACGGGAGAGTGGTGCAGTCCTGTCCTGCTGTGTTGTGTCATCGTTTCGTTTCTATCACGTTTCCTTCCGCATCCGAACTGCACAAAATCAGAACCAAGACTCCCAACCGCAACTCCCAATGTAACGATTTGCGGCTAGAGCGAAACAGCAACCTCGACAAATACGAATCGCGGGCAGCGTGTTTTTCTTTGTCACCCCCTCGTCAACAGGGTGTGCGTGGTGCGTGATTGAAGGTGTATGGTTCATCACGGTGATACATTTTCGTGAGACTTGCTGGTTACCGAATTCGACTCCCCGAAGCCTTGGAGGCTCATCCACTTCGTGGGGTAATTGTCGCAAATGCTGACGGAAGCGGAAGGGGAAGGCCAAACACGTCAGGGAATGTCTGATCGCGGACACGTCAGGATCACCACAAGACAGTTGGGACAGGTGTCAAAAGGGAGAGACCAGGTGACACAGACGGGAGTTGAGATAAGAGCCCATGCTTAAAACAAGGACTACAGTTTTCAAGAAAATATTGCTACAATGTTACAGAAAAGTTTCACAGAAAGAACTTTATGGAAGCCAGGATGTTCTATACATGTATGTCAAGATGGTCAATCTATCTTTGCATAAAACGCTCTCCGTTTTTAGTGCGGACAGCAACAAGTTCAGTATTCAGGTTGATGAACATGTGCGTGATAACCTGGACAGTGGACAAACAGCAATGGGTGAGGAACAGATGCGCGAGGAACAGTCTGGGCAGGTTTTTTAGCGAGTTATGACATTATTGAAGAGTACACAGGAAGACAGAATACACATCATTGAAGCACATGCCATAGAAAAATCGTCTGGGCAGCTGAATATGTTGAATCAAGATGACCAGAGGTCAACCTGACGTGTGTGCAAACCACGTGCCCTTGTGCCCTGCGCATCCGCAATCCCGCAGGTGAGAGATCTCAAATCGCCTTTTTTGCAAATTACCCTGCGACTCGGAATCCCCGTCCTATCGAACAGATGCCACCAGACATGGAAGGGAGGAGCCGCAGCAGACACGACAGGAGATTTTGTACGAGTTGCTGGCTTGGAAGCACGTCAACCCCATATGACCTCTCCTCTTTCTATCATCTAAAAACAGTCAATAGGCTTGTACCAACACCTTCACACATTCATTCCACGCATCATTGTATAGATATTATTTGTTTCCTGGTTCCCCTTGACCACACAGCACGTTAGAATGGCTCGGGCTGCGCTTTTCGCGCTCTCCCTGGCGCTGCTGCTGGTGGCGGCGCGCGCCGGCAGCCCAATCACAAGCTCGACGGCGAACGAGAAGCCCGACGCGAGAAGCAAGAAGGACGACGGGCTCATGACCGAAATCCCCGCGGCCATCGCGAAGCAGGCGGCGGCGGGCGACGCGGCGGGAGTGACATACGTGGACACGGCGCAGGACACGTTCTTCATGGCGGACGTGAAGAAGGCCGGGTGGAACGCGCAGAGATGCCCGCCGGGTTTGAACAAGGAGCTCGCCGGCGCGTGCACGCCCAAGAATTGCTCCAAGGGCGGCATTCCCGCCAAGTGGAAGACGGCGTACCTGCAGAAGAACAAGCTCGGGTACGAGCTGTACGTGCCGGGTAACCCGCTCACGCTGCTCAAGGCGAACCCCGCGTCGTGCTGCAACACGTGCGCCGCGACCCCGCTGTGCACGTACTGGCAGTACATCCCCGATATTACCATCGACGGGAAGAAGGGCAAGGGCGCGTGCTACCTGATCCACGATCAGATCGACTTCACGTGCGGCGAGATGACCGCGCAGTACAGCACCGAGACGAAGCCCGTGCCGCTGCAGGTGCGCATCGGCGGCGAGTGCAACCCGAGCACCAAGATTCTCAACGACCCGCATCTGGTGGGCGCGTACGGCACGCACTTCGACTTCAACGGCCGCCCCGACAAGGCCTTCTGCCTGCTGACGGACCGCGACCTGCACGTGAACATGCTGCTGCGCGGGTACTACGACGAGCGCACCGACAACGCGGCGCTGGTGGTGGACGGCAAGGCCGTGCACACGTGGATTAAGGAGCTCGGCATTGTCTGGACCGCTAAGGGCGTCGACCACAAGGTTCGCATCGCGGCGCGCGGCGGCAAGCAGCAGGAGCGCGGCGAGGGGTTCGTGAAGAGCATCGAGATTGACGGCGAGGCGATCCCGCGCATGCAGGTGGGCGACAGCGTGACGAGCGACGGCGGGCTGACGATCCAGTTCCGCGGGCTGGAGAAGGAGGGGCCGTTCGATGTGGATTACTACCTGCTGACGATCGGCGGCCTGATTTCGCTCGACCTCCGCCTGCGCGTGGCGCACCCGAAGCTGCAGACGCCGAGCGACGCCGAGGCGCACATCAACGTGGGGATTGCGGAGCTGGAGCACACTGACGCGATTCACGGCGTGCTCGGGCAGACGTACCGCGACGACCACTCGCAACGCGCCGCGGACTTCCAGAAGCTGATCGCGAGCCTGCACCGTCCGATCTCCGCCGACAGCGCGGAGGGACAAGGGTTCCTGGATGGCACGCCGCGGTCTTACGAGGCGAGCGATGTGCTTGCTGTGGACTGCGCTTATACCGCCTATGCGCGCGCTAGACAAGTGCTGCCCGTGCAGGAGTTTCCGTAAAGCGCTGATGGCAGGTGTATCGTGCGGTGGGCTGGATTTGAGTTCTGAACTCGGTTTGTAGTTACACAATATACTCACTAGCAGGCATCGATCTTCCTAAAAATGTATACTATCAACATTTAATTTAATTTATATTCTATAAGGCTTACTATCGGCTTGGTTGATGAGCCAAGTCAGACTTACAATTATACCAGACCTATCTGCTCCTGTGCTGTTGTCAGCATTTCACTGACTACTTTCCTCCTGTTACAGTACACAAGAAACACATCCTCTGTCAGGCTTTCTTGTTGGAAGCTGTGTTGTTCGGAGGAGAGTATTTCAGCACCGCCACATCATCTACCATCACAGACCCGATCCACAGCTTCCCCTTCCGCTCCACCACCTCACTAGCAGCCACCACATTCCGCCCCAACTTATCCTCCAACACGTCTGTGATCACCCCGTTATTATCAACCTCTACTATAATCCCGTGCGACAGCCCCACTGCTGCCACGTAGGCTGCTTGCAGCCCCACCGGGTCGTTGAGCAGCCGGTATCGCGCAAAAGGGCTCCTTGCTAGGACCTCTGTGGGAGGAACAATGGGAGGCAAAGTTGGGTACGAAAGATTGTACGGTGTGAAGGGAAGCAATGAAGTGCTTGCAGTCCCACCGGGTCGTCGAGGAGCCTGTATTGTGCATGGGGGCTCCTTGCTAGGACATCTGTGGAAGTAACAGCGGGGTGTAAGGGCAGGATGAGGACAGGCAAATTCTAGTTTTGAGGTGCCTCAAAACTAAGGGCAGGATGAGGACAGGCAAAACAGTCAGAGATAATGGATTGTACGCAAGGTAGCACCTAGGCACCTGCTGCCACGTTACAGCAATGGGGGTGTATGCCAGGATGATCATACAAGAAGAAGCATTAGGGAGTTTAAAGGAGCTGCAGTGTATGTTTTTTTGAGAATTCTCAAAAAACATACACTGGGGGTGCATGCCAGGATGGTCATACAAGAAGAAGCATTAGGGAGTTTAAAGGAGCTGCTTCTGAGTGCATCAGGAGTTGGAACCACCATTCAGGTGGTGTCTTGCGATTGTTTACCAGCATTTACTCATGGTAAACACCCCCACCGTAAGAGCTGCTTCCCCAAACTCATAAACCAGCAGCACAGGAGCATGACAGAAGGAGGCTTGCTCCACTGCACACTGCACCCAACACAGGAGTGCCTCTGGACTCGAATCGGTTGGCTGACATGTGAGCTGGCTTAAATGTCTCCAGATTGTGAATTCATACATAACGGAAAGGAGGCTGGCTGCTACTTACCAGACATGGGAGTTCGTCTCGAGTTGATTGCAATCCAAAACCTTCCTCTGGGGTTGAGGCTCACGTTGTCCGGATAACCGGGCAGGTTCACAAACATTTCCGCCTTGCCCGTTTTTGGCCCCCGGATAAAGTATCGATGACACCTGGAATAAAGGGTTGGCCCAGAATTGGGATGTGAGGAAACTTGATAATTAAGAGAGCATCGGCACAACCATGAGCCTTCTTGCATGCTCCTTTTGCCTCATGTACCTCCTTACACAAGCGCTCACCGCATGCCACGGTGCTGCCGCAGGAGATCGCAACGCCATTGGCGAACGCCACTCCCTTCACCAGCACCTTGGTCTTCCCCGCACCTCGTGTACCTCCTTTCACAGCCACTCACCGCAGGTAGCTCCATTCACAGCCACTCACCGCATGTAGCTCCATTCACAGCCACTCACCGCATGTAGCTGGTTTCACAGCCACTCACCACATGTAGCTGGTTTCACAAAAGACCACAAACGTGCTGCCGCTGGAGATCGCAACGCCATTGGCGAATGCCACCCCCTTCACCAGCACCTTGGATTTCCCTGCACCTCGTGTACCTCCTTCCACAACTGCTCACCGCATGTAGCTGGTTTCGCAGAAGACAACAAACGTGCGGTCACGGGAGATCGCAACGCCATTGGCGAATGCCACCCCCTTCACCAGCACCTTGGTCTGCCCTGTTGCGATGTCATACCGCATGAACCGCCCGTCTGGCTGGCCCTCCAGTGTTGCCAGGAAGAAATCCCTGCAGGGAGTAAGGGTACGGGGTGGAGATTTATAGCGAGAGGGGCGCAGGTTGGTGGAGGGATAGTGGGTGGATGGGAATCATAGAGAGTCGAGAGGGTTTGCAGAACGGCACTCCCTTCACCAGCACCTTGGTCTGCCCTGTTGCAATGTCATACCGCATGAACCGCCCGTCTGGCTGCCCTTCCAGTGTCGCCAGGAAGAAATCCCTGCAGGGAGTAAGGGTACGGGGAGGAGATTTATAGCGAAAGGGGCACAGGTTGGGGGAGGGTTTGTGGGTGGATGGCAATTATAGAGATTAAGAGGGTTTGCAGAACGCCACTCCCTTCACCGGGACTTTTGCCGGCCCCTGTTGCAATGTCGCAACTCTTACTGAGGCGCCTGGAATTTGTTCCCTTGTGCAGCACCCGCTGGCAAGTAAGTCAATGCAAGGCAACTCACTTTCCCTGTCAATGCTGCCATCTGTGAACTCGACCTCCCCAGTGCGCCCATCTGCGTCAATATCAAGGTCGTTGGTCATTAGCATCCTCTTCCCCTCCACCGCCTTCCAAGCCAGTGGAATGAAACGTGCAAGACAGCACTCACTTTCTTTGCCACCGGGTGCTGCCATCGGTGAAATACACGACCCCATTCTTCCCATCCGCGGCAATATCAAGGTCGTTGGTCATCAGCATGCGCTTCCCCTCCACCACATCCCAAACCAGTGGCACTCACTTGCGTTGCCACCGAGTGCTCCCGTCAGTGAAATACACGACGCCATTCTTCCCATCTGCGTCAATATCAAGGTCGTTGGTCATCAGCAGGCGCTTCCCCGCCACCGTATCAACCAGCTTCTCCGCCTTGCCCCCTCCAAGCCCTACTCTGTGCAGCACTCACCTGCGTTTTCTAACCTGCTTCATACGTGCATCTGCACTCACTTTCTTTGCCACCGAGTGCTCCCATCGGTAAAATACACCACCCCATTCTTCCCATCCGCGTCAACATCCAGGTCGTTGGTCATCAGCATCCGCTTCCCCGCCACCGTATCAACCAGCTTCTCCGCCCTGCCCCCGCCAGGCCCCACTCTGTGCAGCCCGAAGTAAGCGTCAGCGAAGTACAGATCGCCCGTGGTTGGGTGGAAGCGCAGACCCAAGGGCCGCCCGCAGATGGGCTCAGTGCTGCTGTTGGTACTGCTGCTGCTGTTGTTGCCCTGACAGCGCTCCTTGGACCTGTGCGCGGGGTTGGAGGGGAATGGGGGAAGCTGTGAGGTGAGTGAAAAAGGGTGTGGCTTTAAGTGACGAAAGGGGGGCCCTCAGTTGGGCTCTCCACTTGCAAGACCACGTGCAATTGCACAGCATTTTTGAGACGTCTTACTAGTCGTATAGCAAGTTTGCGTCTTGCAAGTTCACGTGGCAGAGCACAGCACAGTGACAACCTTTTCAACGTCTCTGCTGTGCGCGCCACGTGGCAAAAGCCCTTTGAAGTCGGCGTATCTTTGGGGATTAATATAAAAAGCCCTTAAAAGACTCAGCGGGGCTCACCACTTGGGGGAAGCCCACGCGAATGTCTCCCATCGCATGTTGTCTTTAGACCGCCTCACAACCCGGCCGTCGCTCACTGACGCGTACGGGCCGCGCCCAGTTCCGTCCCATGCCAGACTCTCCGGTCCTGTTGCTTGCCCTGTGTACCTGAGAAACGCAATGGAGCATGCTTGGGTGAGTTTATGAGATGATGCCAAATGCGGTCTTGTTTTCTCCCATGCCAATGTTAGCACGCCTCTCCTATTGTCTCGAGTAACGGCGAATAAACGAAGTGTATTGGTACAGCGGTAAGGTTGTGAGACCTCTAAAAGTACGGGTTTCAAACGTCTTTCACGGGCAAAAGTGCCAGAACAACAGGTCTTTTGTTCCTTCGACAGCTGAATGTTGCTGCTTGGAATGCTGGTATCAAAATTTCTTAAAAGTAGCGGTTCCATTATATCCCTGCGCACCTTCGTTCCGCGAGAGCGAGGCGGTTCTCGCTGTCAAACTTTAGGGTTAGCGGAGCTAAGGGGATGGATGCCGGCTTGAACTTTGAAGGGTCAACTGTGGGAAGCTCTACAGTTGTAGTCGCGACGACACCATGAGTGACGAGCGGGAAAATTACTACTAAACTAATAGAGAGAAGAACGATAATAGAAGGGCGTCGCCACATTGTGTTTCAGAGCCGTACAGCAGAATTTTTTTCACAAAAAAAAACTATCGTTTATGCAAACTATCGTGAAAGGATCTAATGCTGCTCTCCGTGACAGGAAGCACAGCTAGGATGGGAGGTCGGGGCTTCGTGGCAGGTCTATGCAAACATCTCTTGAAACTTACTTGTGGAAGTAAGATCAAAGACTGGTTCTTAGAAGTTCATCCAACGGCCATGCCTGGTTCAGGGTGGAGACTGTCCGATTTGTCGGCAATAACTCGGAGTTCTGCTCCACACACACCAGCCACTCCCTGGCAAAGGCTGGCCGGGTCCAATTTGTTTCGAACCGCATTCGCAAAATGCGAGGCAGCATGCTTCGCGCGCGCTGCTTGCGAAGTCCGCTACTTTGAAGCGCCGCGGGAATTCTGGTGAGGTTTGACACAGCAACGGCATGAATCGCTGCAGTCATGTTCTCAACAGATTACAACTGTGTATGCGGCTTTCGCAACTGACCACATGGGACTGACACTGGCGCTTCGATCACAATACGTCATGACAATACATCCATGGCCATGGCGGAGAGCTTTAACTACGTCAATGTGCAGCAATTTCTGTCCTGATGCAGACATTGAGACACTTATACGACGCGCGGCTTTAAGCTCTACACAATCGTGTATTTTAAGTGTTCATTACGGGAACCTAAACACCATTTATATGAGTTCCAGGCAGTCGTCAGTGTTTCAAGCATCATCAACGCCTACTATTGCACATGACTTCAAACAAGTATCTAAGCTTCCTAATGGATATCATCGCGCATTACCTTTGGTTTTGTCATCAGCTCGCGCTACTCTCGAGGCCGACTTTCTCTATGGTTCACCAATCTCCGTGGTTTCTACCCAGCTTGACTGCCTGGCGTTCCCTATGGTTCTGGCGCTGCCCTCGGGCCTGGACCTGCAGCGTTTCAGTTTCAAACATATGAAGTACAAACAGTCTGCTTCAGCGTCAGATGTGCTCAGTCCGGCTTGTTGTTCAGCCTCCAACGGGCTGTCAAGCTTCTCTCATCATCGCACCATGGGGAAAGGTCGCAGCAACAAGACTGGCAAGAAGACTCTTGATACTGACAAGGAGGGTGATATGGCCAATGTACCTGCTGTGCCTGTGAAGGATGCTGCCGATAATGGTCGTACGCCGGCTTCTTCTTCGGCGCCTGCGGTGCTCGGTCCCTTCGAAGACTTGCTGGACTTACAGATCAAGGCTGACATTCCCGCTGGACAAGACGGCGATGGTGCTGCCGGGGTCGCTGGTGCTGCTGCTAAGGAGGACGGAAAGGTGGCCGCTGATGGTGAGGCTGATGCGGATGCTGCCGCGCAGGAGGATGAGGATGCTGCGTCTGACCAGGCTCCTGATGACGACGACGATGGTTACCTGAGTGACGACTCCGATGAACATCTGGAACCGACTTCGCTTGGCAGCATTATCGCTTTGAAACGCTTCTCGCTAACCTTGCTGGTGCCGTTTAACAGGAAACCCGAAGTCAAGCGCACTGCTGTAACTGTGGCTGCCTTGCTGGATGATTGGAAGGATCAGCTGTCGCCGGACGTGCTGCAGACGACAACTTATCAGGAGCTTACTGCGACTTATTTCTCTGGCGTGCGTTATGGTCTCCTTCAAGTTACCTTCAACCACGTCCGCGATGCGAATTTTGTTTGGAGCCAGGTCGTCAGGCACGAGTGTGTGAACGGCGACGTGGTCGACTTTACCTGGCAGCATCCGGAGGACGCGCGTTTTCTTCGTGAGCGTCTGCTGAACCCGACGGCGAAGGAGGTTGTTGTCAAGGGAGTCCCTGCGGACATTACTGCTGAGCTGATACGTCACCTGCTGGTGGTGTCGACGCTGGTTAAGCGTGGTCGGAGCGCTTTCGCCAGCGGCTTTGGTTTTCACCGGACCGTTGATCCGGTCACTGGGTTAGACACCGATCGGATCCGTGGCCTTTTTGTACCTCATGTCGACGATGGGTATCGCTGGAGGTACTTCGTGGAGGACCCGTCGACTGGCAGGCGCTACCTGCTTCATTACCCGTCGCTTACCTGCGAGCTCTGCAGTGGCCAGCACATGACCCGCTACCACGACCACTATGTCACCCCGAGACAGGAGAATTTCACCAACTGGAACCTGACGGTCAAAAAGGTTCATGACATGAACGGTATAAGCAGGAAGCCTCTTCCTCCTCGGTTTTCGCTTTCGTTACCTTCGATTTCTGCTCCGCTCGTACCGTGCCTTCAGAGCCGTACTGACGACTGTCTCCTCACCTCCTCTCGCAGCGGCTTCCCTGAAAGCCACAGCGCTCCTGACGCGCATTCTGAAAGACCCCGCAGTCATACTCACCTCTACTGGAGGTGTGCGGGAGGAGTGGGTGTGCGTACAGACTGTCTGCGAGAAGGCCCAAGGGAATCGTTTCGAGCAGGCGGCGGCTCATGTGGCCTCTGCCAGGCACAAGGGAGGGCTGAAGTCAGAAGGTGCTGCAACGCGCGCCAGCATGCACTCGCAGAAGATGGCTGCTTTCAAAAAAGAGTTCATGGCTGTGCCGGCAAAGAAGTGAACAGCGGCTTAGCGGATGAGACGCCGTTGTGGTTGTTCGGTGCATGTTGTGTAGTTGGTGCCTGTTTCTCCTTCGCTGTAGCAGGATGCATCGTCGCAATAAAGATCAATCGCCCGTGGATGCTGTGGGGCTCAAAGAGGGTGGTTAATGGATAAACGCAACAGCTTAACCTTTCTCGAGCTCAACATCAACGGGCTCGGTAGCTGCGGGAAACAGGAGAGATGCGGAAAGTGGATCAGAAAGGTAGCACACATAGTGGTACTCACTGACACACGTGTTTCGCAGGATCATAACTTCTGGACGCAAATCCGGTCGGAAGCTCAGGTGGTAGTTGGCCCGTCACAGAGAGCCGGGGGGGTGGCGGTCTTAAGTTTCCTGCCAGGCATGCGGTTCACAGATGTGGTTACACATGAGTCCGGCAGGCTCATCAGTCTGATGCTTGCATGGCGCGATCTGACCTGCAGGGTGGTGGCTGTATACTTACCGGCGCAGGCACCCGCTAGGGGGGTTTTCTTTCGCGACGTACTAACGCCTTTTGTACAGAACTTGAGCGCCTCCCCGTATACCATTCTTCTTGGCGACCTGAACATCGTTGCGGACCCTGTGCTTGACAAGTCTTCGAAGTTGGGTACACCAGCGGAAAACCAGAGGCTCCTGCAGATCTGCTCGAGATGGGATATGCAAGACGCTTTCCGGTGCCTCCACCCGACCCGGAAGGAGTACACCTTCTTCTCAAGGTCTGCAAAAACAAGCACACGGATTGACAGGGTGTTAGTTTCACATTCTCTTCTCAACTGCGTTACAGAGGCGAAGCATAGAATGGTCCCATACGGTTTAACAGACCACTGGTTTGCGGTGTCGGTGTCGCTCAAGGCTGCATCGGCAGATGACCACGGACCAGGGTTGTGGAGGCTTCAAGCACCTCATGCCGGGGGCGAGGGTGTCCGGAACATCATATCGGCGGTCTTGGCTTCCCAGGCGAATTGTCCGGATCAGGGCCTGGAGAGATTGGTGACGTGTCTGCGGGCAAGCATGAGGGCGCATGTAGCAGAAGAGAGGAAACGGGTTAAGGCGACCATGGTACACTTGGAGCAGAAGGTGGAAGAGCTAAGATGGAAAGTGATGTCTGACCCTTCGTCGCAGGCGTTGTACGAAGAGCTGGTACGGTGTGAGGTGGCTCTGAAGCTCTACCAAGACAGCAACAAGGAGCGGTTGCAAGTTCTGACGGGGATGATGCAGGAGCTGGCGGGTGAGACTCCATCGGGCTTCCTGTCCGGTTTGGTCAAGTCCAGAAAAGCGAAAACTGAGATTGCGGAGCTCACCTTCAAGGGGGTATTGAGGAAAGGAGCGAGCGAGGTGCTGCAAGCGGCCTCTGAGCATTTCCGTGAGGCCTACGCGTTGTCGCCGACGTCCTCGCCTGTGGAGCCGTGGCCGATTGAAGAGGGACGAACGCTGCAGGAGTGTGATCGCCGGCAGCTGGACAGCGAATGGTCAGAACAGGAGGTGAAAGTGGCGTTGAAAGGCTTACCGGCGGGGAAAGCCCCGGGGCAGGACGGCTTGCCGAAAGAGTTTTTCGAAAGGAATTGGGAGCTGCTGGGTCCGGCGGTGATGAAGGAAGTCAGGACCTTTGAGTCAACGGGTGTGCTTTCGGAATCCTTTACGACGGCGGTTACGATCCTTCTGCACAAAAAAGGCGACAGGGGGGATTTGGGGAATTATCGACCGATCACATTACTGAGCTTCTTCTACAAACTGCTAGCGAAGGTGTTGGCGAATAGAATCAAGGTGGTCCTACCGAAAGTGATCTCCGGTAACCAGTTCGGCTTCCTTCCGGGGAGGAGTCTCGCTGATGCTGTCTCGCTGGTAGCGGATGCGATTGACGCTGCGGAGCAGGAAGACGAGGACTGGCTGCTGTTGTTGGTTGATTTTCAGAAAGCTTATGACTCGGTATCGCGGGACTACCTTTTCACGACACTGGGCAACATGGGCTTTTCGGAGAAGTTCACGAGATGGGTGAAGGGTCTTCACGATGGAGCGGCGACCAGAGTGCTGTTGAACGGCTGGATCGGGGAACGGGTGGAGATGGACAAAGGTGTTCGGCAGGGTTGCCCGCTCGCCCCATACCTCTTCCTCTGCGCGGTTGAGCCACTCTGCCAGGAAATAGAACGGAGGAAACTGGGGGTCAGGAAGAGGGGGGTGAAAGGGAGCTTGGACTACATTGGTTATGCAGACGACACGACGCTGGTCCTGAAGGGCAAGGAACAGGTGGTAGTGGCTGAGAAACTGTTGGGGGAGTTCGCGGAGATCTCAGGGCTGAAGGTGAACCGGGATAAGACGACACTGATGCCGCTCGGTAAAAACCTAAGGAGGCTGCAGCCGATAACGTCGTCCTTCAAGTGGGCGGAGAAGAACGCGTCTGAAAGGCTGCTCGGAATCTGGATCACCTCTGGTGGCTCGCCGGGACCTGCATGGGACAAGGCCTTTGAAAAAGTTAGCGCGGTGCTGAGCTGCTGGGAGAGCAAGCACCTCAAAACATCAGCGCGAGTTACAATCATAAACTGTTATGTGATGCCGATCCTGCTCTTCCAGGCGCAGATTTACGCCCCACCGTACGATGTATGGACCAAAGTGAAGAGGCTGTGCCACAATTTCATCTCGGGAGGGAAGGCGCTCCTCGACAAACACTTCACACTATGGAGCTACGAACTGTCCTGCAGAGAACGGAAAGAGGGGGGCCTGGGAGTGATTGACTTGAGGCACCGGATTGACAGCATGGTGATCCAAGGTCTGGGGAAAGCCCTGGCGGAGCAAGAGCCACTTCGGAACTGGTTGTGGGAGAGGGCGGCGGCTTTTCCCCTCGGCTTGGCCACGGTTTACGCGCATCCTTCGATCCTGAAGACCTGGCTGGGGGGTGGCACGAGGTGGAAAGCCACTATTAAAACGCTGTGGGACTCGAAACTGGTGGTCATAGGGGACTCGGCTCACAGGTGGGACGCGGAGGGGGAGCAGTTATTGTTCAATCGAAATATCTTCTTCAGGGGCAGATCACCTTTCGGTAATCAGGCGGGCTCGCTCTGTCTGAAGGACGTCCGTCTGGGGGATCTGGTGGTGATGGGAGGGGATGGCAGCAGATCTCGTAAGAGCGAGGAGGTTTTGGAGAGGGAACTGGGAGGGGTGGAGCAGAGGAAGTGGGCCCTGAAGGCGTGGGATGCGACACCACAGAGTTGGAAGGATCTGGTACTCAAGCAACTGTCGGCGGAGGAGGTTTTCAGGGAATCGAGGCTGGTCCGCTCTTCGTCTTACCGCCCAGGAGAGTTCTTTTACTACCAGCTGCAGTATGTGAGCAATGGCGAACTTCACGGTCGGAGAGTGACGGTGGACAAGAAAGGGAACATAGGCGAGGTGGAATATGCTAGCGTGGTAACAGTGGATTTCCGGCGCGTTTCACCCATGGCAGTCATCGATGGGAGGGCTCGCGGCCTACTCGGCGCTCCGAGAACGCGACTGCTCTGTTCCACAATCTGTGAGAGAGGCGAGCGGGCTGATCTAAAGAAGTTGAGGAAGGCGATGAAACCCTCAGTGACGCAGCCGAAGCAGCAGCTGAAGTGGGAAGAGGAGATGGGGAGGAAGATCGATTGGGGGAAGGCCATCACGGTCCGTGACTCGCTGGCAACCCCATGCAGAGCACGGGAGGTGATACTGAGGGTGCACAGTAACAACCTCCAGGTGGGAGAGCGGCTCCCTTTCTTGGGCGCGAGGGCGAAATGCACGCACTGAGGCGGAGTGGAATCGCAGGATCACTGTCTTTTCAGCTGCCCGGTGATCCAACCTGTGGTGGAGGTGATGAAGAATGTGGTTCGGTGTATGAATCCGGGCAGGGACATGCGTTCGCTCGGGGACATGCTCTTCCAAAAGAGTGGCACATCGACTGGCTTTCCTGAGGCAGCAATCATATCCATCACAGCGCACCAAGTTTGGCTGGAAAGGTGCAACGCGGTTTTCCGAGGGAGCCGTTTCCAGCCAAAGAGAGCTTTGAGGCGCATGGCAGTTGGCTTCACGAGGCACGTGAAGGTCTACAACAGAGCGCGGAAGAAATCGGCTGGCAGGATTGCGTCGAAAAGGACGGGTGACTGGAGCCACTTGAATGCTGACGAGGCAAGTGCTATGTGTAGGCTCTACGAGACAGAGGCCTCCATGACGTGGAGAGTTGGTTTCAAGAAGATCTGGGAAGATAGCGGTGTAGCGTTCCAGCCTCCGTAAAGGGATAAGGGGGGCTCTGGTTACTAGGAAGCTTGTAACCTCTCCCTGCCCTCCTAGCAACAGTTACGACTGCGGATGTATGTATGCTGATTGTGTACCTATATCCACCAAAAAAAAAAAAAAAACTGTGTATGCAAAAATTTCGTGTTCTCATTGTACAAGTCTTCCACTAACCCAGTGCAATCAGTTGGAGTCAATCTAATTCCATATCAGCTTTATATGTGCTCAGCAGAATGACAAAACAAGCAATCCTATGCAAGTCGTCAATCGTATTTGCAATAATGTTATTGCTTATCCTAGGATGTGCACTGCCATCAGACTTATTCCTAGAAGAGACCACTACGGCCACTTGAGGGTGGCAATATAATCCTCAATAACGGAGCCTATCCACAACTTCCCATCATGCTCCACGATTTCACTCACATCCTTCACCACCTTCCCATTCTTGTCCTCCAGCAGGTTGGTGATTTTGCCATCCGCATCTACCTCCACCACAATGCCACTGGCCCTCTGGTCCTGTGTGGCCTTCACAATCTTGTACCCAAGCTTGTTTTCCACAAATGTCTCCCGGATGAGAGGGGTCTGGGATGCAACAGCTGTGGGAGTGGAAGGATGTCGGGAAGGGAGAATTCGGATTGCATGATTGAGACGAGCTTCATGCATACTTGTTGCATGAGGACACACAGACGAGCAGGTACAAAACTGAACCACACTGGTGACAATGAAGAGCAACAGGATGAGATGAGACTGAAGACCGCGGAATGGGTGCTGAGGGTTATATTCAGGTTCCACAATGGTCAACATCCAGGACGTACTTGCTGTAGGTGACCTCCTCGAGTTGAGTGCGATCCAGAACCTTCCTCTGGGGTTGAGACTGAGGTTGTCAGGGTATCCCGGCAAATTCACAAACACCTCCTTTTTCCCCGTGTTTGGTCCACGAATCCAGTACCGGTGGCACCTGGAAGAGATATGGGAATGGAATACGATGGTGTACATGAGGTGACCTTAACATTTTTAAAGGAGAACACTCAAGCACGGTTGTAAGGAGCAAACGAGAATCACACACACATCACCAGCCAGCAGCGCACCTGAGGTAGGTCGTCTCGCAGTACACCACAAACGTCTTATCCTGCGAAATCGCCACGCCGTTCGCGAACGCCACTTTTTCGTCAATCACCGTCGTCACGCCACTCGCGATGTCGTACTTCATGAACCGTCCGTCCTTCCGGCCTTCCAGCGTCAGCGGCAGAAAATCTCGCCTGTACCAACGCGAGCTGCCGTCCGTGAAATACACGACATTCGCGTCCGCGTCAATATCTAGGTCATTCGTCATCATAAATTTCCTCCCGTCGAGTGCGGAGACGAGCTTCGTCGCCTGCCCGCCCGCGGCGCTGACTTTGTACAGGCCGAAATATCCATCCGCGAAATAGAGGTCTCCGGTAGTGGGGTGAAACGCCAGGCCGAGCGGCCGCCCGCAGATAGTTTCCAGCTCCGGTCTGGTTTTCTTCGAGTTACATTTCGCGTCAGTTCGCAGCGGCGACGCGTACGTGAACTCTTCCCAGGCGCTGTCGTCGTCTGTGCGTCGCATGATTCGCCCGTCGCTGAAGCTCACGTACGGGCCCTTGCCGTTAGGGTCCCACGCAATGCTCTCCGGGCCTGTCATCTCACCCTCGTACCTGGGGGAGAGCAGGGAACGAAAAGGGTTGTTTTTCAGTCGACATGTAGCATTGTCTCGTGGCACAGATTCCGAGGCGCCTCGAAGGTCCCACGCTGTTCTATCCGGGCCTGCGAGCATGGGGCTCGTAAGTGGGGAGTGAGAGAGGGAACCGGGGACCGAAAGGTGGTCACCCACCTCGTAAGGGTGATGGAAAGGGTAGACGGGACGATAAAAGTGGTGGAGAGTGAATCTAGATCATCTGCGCCGAATAATTTGTCGCGTGCTTGCAAAATTTTGGCGGGTTGGTGAGAAAGGGCGGTCGGGTGACTAGATGGGCGGTGGTGGTGGCGGGAAGGACATGCAGGGGCTTATGCAGGTGTACTATACAGTTTCTTGTGACCCTTCCAGTGATTATAAAACCATACGAGAAGCCAGAGGGGCAACTCACCGCGTAATAACCTCAAGCGAGAACAAGGGGAGCGCAAAGGTGGAGGGGCTCGTGCAATTCTGTTCTTGTTTCCGCAAGGGAAATTCAGCTTTCCCGCGCGAGGGAAGACAAATAGACTGTCGCTTACCGCTTAGTGGCTCGTGCGAGTCGGTTCTTCTTGTCCGTTCTTGGGAAGAGTTTTGCAGGAGGAAGGTTCACTCGCGCGGCCTTGAACTTTTTGGACCACCGCTTTGTCAGCCCCGCCTCGGCATTCCCAAGACTGCCCAGCGCCACCAGCGCAACGATCAGGCATGCTAGGAGCAGCGGCCCGCTAACACGGATCGCCATGAGGTACTCAGTAGGAAGGTGGTGTGTCTACTTGATTTTTTAGGCGCCTTATAAAGATCGAGAGTTATGTAGGAAGGGGATATGTCTGGCTTTGAGGACACCAAACGAAGTGGAGACTGGAATCTCCAGATAAGTTCCTGACGTTATCACTAGAACTGTAAAAGCAGCATGTAACTTCTTTAATTCTGTCGTTTACAATGTCTCAACTCTCGTCGATAGGCGACGATGCTTCACTTGTTATTTGCACAATGACAGTCTGGGTCTACGGACAGCTCCAGCTAGCAGTGCGGCAAATGAACAAGATCAGGTGCACTTCCGTCTGCGGAGTGGATGGTATTGGCAACGACGTTGTGAGGTAACGACGAAATACTGGCGTGAATTTGATGGTTGCCATTCCCAACGTTACCGTTCCCAACCTTCGATGGTTGCGAAGTTGGTCTGTTCAATCTCCCTCACCTCCAACATCCATTGAATTTCAGTTTCTGGAAAGCTGCAAGTGAATTTTGGCGGGGAGGTTGGGGAATTTGAACATTGCGCACTTTTGTTGTGGGATTGGGAGGAATGCTCTGGGTGATTGGTGTATGTTCCGTGACCTCGAGTCGCGAGCGGCCCGAGTTTCGAAATTTACGAATTGGTCGGTCAGAGAGATGTCGGTGCGAGACTCACAGGCATACGCTACACAAAGTGAGTCGCTACCTAGGAATTATATGGTTCATTGTCATGATTTGCCCCAGTTGAAAGTTACGTTGCATTATAGTTCACTGTTCCAACAAAGTCGTTGACAACAGATCCTAGCCACAGCTTGCCTTCTCTTTCCACAACCTCACTTAGCTGCTTTATTCTCTTGCCGTTCTTGTCCTCAAGAATATCAGTTACCTTACCGTTTGCATCCACCTCAACTAGTATTCCACTTGCTAGGCGTTCTGAAGTGCCCACAGCGAAATTGTACCCTGCCTGTTGTTGTAACACTGCTCCTCGAATGATAGGAGTCCTCATAAGTAAAGCTGCCAGAGCCAAACCACACGGGTTGGAGAGAGGGAGTGAGGGGGATGAAGGATTGGGTGAGAAGGTTCAAGAGGTCGGAAAGATGTTGAAAGGGTTGAGAAAATAAATCAGATCATGCGCTGAATTACAGTACACCTCATCGAGTCTCCGTGCTGTGAAGTAAAGGGGCTACCAGTGTCAAACACCTTTTAGCCATCTTGAAGCGTGCACGTGGTAACGCCTACCTCACCCCCGTGCAACATCACTGCATGACCATACTCAAACCAGATGCACACATGCAACAAGGGCCATGTCACAACCAATCGCCTTCCAAGCCATGAAGCGCCCAGAAAAAGAGCGCTTGCCAAGCAGCGTTCATTGGGAACGTCTGGGTCGTGCGGGAAGATAAAATTAGTCCCAAAGGCCTCACCTGTTACAAGCAAGTTTTTTGAAGCGCCTGAATAAAACTTAAGCACATGTCTTCACCTGTTACAAGCGAGTTGCGGGAGTTGAGTGCGATCCAGAACCTCCCTCTGGGGTTGAGACTGAGATTGTCTGGATATCCTGGGAGCTTCACAAAAAGCTCCTTCTTCCCAGTCTTAGGGCCTCGAATCCAGTACCGGTGACACCTGAAAACATGCAGGGGAACGAGGAGAGGAAGCAAGAGGGAGAGAGGAGGCAGAATGGAAGTGGAGAGTGGAGAGACGGAAGGAGAGGGAGGAGAGGAGAGAAGAGCATGGATAACTTTTGAGTCGACTCAAAAGTCACCTCAAGAGAGGAGGCAGAATGGAAGTGGAGAGTGGCGACGGAACGAGAGGGAGGAGAGGAGAGAAGCATGGATGTGACACGAGCACACAGCAAACAGGGAAGCAAAAGGAGGAAAGAACGCAGATGCAATGAAAGCAGGAGCAGATGAAGCTAGCTAAACAGAAGCTGATAATTTCACGGGCAGATAAAAACTAGACGTCTGTTGCAGCTCACACCTGAGGTAGGTCGTTTCACAGAAGACGACAAACTTCTTGTCCCGTGAAATCGCGACGCCGTTTGCGAACGCGACCTTGTCCACGAGAACAGAGGTCTTGCCCGTGGCAATGTCATACTTCATGAACCGCCCATCCTTGCGCCCCTCAAGTAAGAGTGGGAGGAAGTCCCTGCGACCAGACATATGGATAGAAGTACCCTGTTTATGTATAAGTGTATGCATGTGATCTTGTCTACAAGCACAGTGGTCTTGACCGTCCCAATGTCATAATTCATGAAACGCCCGTCTTTCGACCTTCCAGCAGCAGGGGGAGGAAGTTACTGTGGCCAGAGATGTGGACATGTGGTCTCACAAGTCAACGCAAGTCAACACGTGGTCTGCACCAGCGAGGAGGTCCCCACCTGCGCGCCCATCTCGAGCTGGAGTCGGTAAAATAGACCACATTCGCATCGGCGTCAATGTCAAGGTCGTTGCACATCATCATGCGCGTCCCATCCACCACATCTACCAGCTTCGTCGCCTGCCCGCCACTGCTGCTCGCCTGGTGAAGAGTGAGGAAAAGTCGAACAAACGAATGCACAGAACCGCACACAACCGCACACCAGAGTCTCAATGGGTCGTTGCACATCATCATGCGCGTCCCATCCACCACATCTACCAGCTTCGTCGCCTGCCCGCCACTGCTGCTCACCTGGTGAAGAGTGAGGAAAAGTTGAACAAAAGAATGCACAGAACCGCACACAACCGCACACCAGAGTCTCAATGGGTCGTTGCACATCATCATGCGCGTCCCATCCACCACATCTACCAGCTTCGTCGCCTGCCCGCCACTGCTGCTCGCCTGGTGAAGAGTGAGGAAAAGTCGAACAAACGAATGCACAGAACCGCACACAACCGCACACCAGAGTCTCAATGGGTCGTTGCACATCATCATGCGCGCCCCATCCACCACATCTACCAGCTTCGTCGCCTGCCCGCCACTGCTGCTCACCTGGTGAAGAGTGAGGAAAAGTCGACCAAAAGAATGCACAGAACCGCACACAACCGCACACCAGAGTCTCAATGGGTCGTTGCACATCATCATGCGCGCCCCATCCACCACATCTACCAGCTTCGTCGCCTGCCCGCCACTGCTGCTCACCTGGTGAAGAGTGAGGAAAAGTCGACCAAAAGAATGCACAGAACCGCACACAACCGCACACCAGAGTCTCAATGGGTCGTTGCACATCATCATGCGCGCCCCATCCACCACATCTACCAGCTTCGTCGCCTGCCCGCCACTGCTGCTCACCTGGTGAAGAGTGAGGAAAAGTCGACCAAAAGAATGCACACAACCGCACACAACCGCACACCAGAGTCTCAACGGGTCGTTGCACATCATCATGCGCGTCCCATCCACCACATCTACCAGCTTCGTCGCCTGCCCGCCACTGCTGCTCACCTGGTGAAGAGTGAGGAAAAGCCCGAGCACACAAGCACACACCAGAGTCCCAATACGCCGTTGCAAGATCATGATCCCTGGTAAGATCATGATCCCTGGTAAGATCATGATCCCTGGTAAGATCATGATCCCTGGTAAGATCATGATCCCTGGTAAGATCATGATCCCTGGTAAGATCATATGGGCCCACGGGTTTCCCACATGCGTCGTACCCAGTCTTCTCTTAAAGCCCATGAGCCCCCGCCCCGACTCACACATGCAGACTCACTGAGACTCATTAGACTTCTTGTATAGAGTACAGAGTGTTTTTTACCTTGAAGAGCCCGTAGTACGCGTCAGCAAAGTACAGGTCCCCCGTGGTGGGGTGGAAAGCCATTCCCACTGGCCGGCCGCATTTGTCCTCTAGTGCAAGCTTCGGGGTGCGCGAGTCGCACAACGCCGGGGTTCTTGAAAAAGATTGTGACAGTAACGAGGGCGGGTAAAATGGAGAGGCAGGGGGGAAACAGACATTGGATAAGGCTTGATCCATGCTCACGTCACAGTCACAGTTGCTTCAACTGCAAACATCACTCACACTCGTAGCTTCTGTGACGCATGGAAGAAACGCGACCGTCACTCAAATTCACGTACGGCTTCCCCCCTCTCCCCCATTCGCATCTTGAGGCTCCTAAGAGACTCATAACACATCATAGACACCGAGAATTTCCCAGTACCCGTGCGGCGGCGAGGCACAGGAGAATTCCTCCCAGTCGCTGTCGTCCACCTTCCACCCGAGAATGCGTCTGCCCATCTCACACTCACGTACGGCCTGACCTGACTTTTGAGTCGACTCAAAAGTCAGCTCGTTACAATGTCACACGGTGTTCCACCCGAGAATGCGTCTGCCCATCTTTCACACTCACGTACGGCCCTCGCCCCTCTCCCCCCGGTTCCCCACTCGCACCCTGAGATTCCTCACAAATCCAGAAAAACCATAACACATCGTACCACGGAGGCGCGGGTAATTTCCCAGTACATCTGCGGCCGGGCGTGGGTAAATTCCTCCCACGCCTCCTTCAAATGTGTCCGTCGCCCACACTCACGTCCACCCTCTCCCCACCTCCCCTACCCCACTCCCCTCCCCCACTCCCATCCTGAGGGTCCTCACAAACTCATAACGTTTCAAACCAGAAAAAACTTCCCAGCACCTGTGCGGCGAGGCATAGGTGAATTCCTCCCAGTCGCTGTCGTCCGCCAACCTCCTGAGAATGCGCCCGTCACTCACAAACGACTCTTCCCTATTTGAATCGTGAGTTCCCACAAAAAACTCACAACACGTCGAACCAAGCAAGCTTCCCAGTACCTGTGCGGCGAGGCATAGAGGAATTCCTCCCAGTCGCTGTCATCCGCCTTCTATCTGAGGATTCCCCCATCGCTCATGAACCTCTCAAACCCTGCCCCTCTCGCCCCCTTTTCCCGACTCGCACCCTGAGATTACTCACAAGTCCATGTCATGTCAAACCAGAAAAAACTTCCCAGTACCTGTGCGGCGAGGCATAGGTGAACTCCTCCCAACCGCTGTCGTCCGCCTTCCTCCTGAGAATGCGCCCGTCGCTCACACTCACGTACGGGCCTCGCCCACTGGGGTCCCAAGCTATGCTCTCAGGCCCTGTGGCCTGACCCACGTACCTGGTGGCTCGTCGTAGGGGGAGGCAAGGGGAGGTGGGGAGGTAGTTGCAGTAAGATGGGGAAGGATGGTACGTGTTACAATCCGCCCGTCGCTCACACTCACGTACGGCCCTCGCCCACTTTGGTCCCATGCTATGCTCTCAGGACCACTGGCCTGACCCACGTACCTGGTGGCTCGAGAAAGGGGGAGCAGGTGGGGAAAAGGAGGATCGGACTATGGGAGGCGTGGGGAGGGACGGGGAGGGAGACAGAAAGTACGCGGTTTTGATCAACTCAGATCGTACGACTAACCTGGGACAGCTAACTCTGATCGTTCAACTAAGATACTGGATAGGACAAACTAAGGCCAACCAAGTTCAGCTGAGGCGATTTAAGAGCATTCACCGACGGGCGGTCTTGGCGAGTCGATTCTTCTTGTCTCCCATCCCGCCAATCAGCTTCGGCAGCGGCACGCACACGCGAACCGGCCGGAACTTCTTGGCCCAAGAGGTCCTTCGCGCTGAAACCGCGTGTACAGGACCGTCGGGAAACGGCGACGCGAGGAATACCATAGCGAGGATGAGAAAGAGCGAGGAAACGCGAGGGAAGCGACCAGAGGGCCCCAGATGCTGAAGGTGTCTGATCGCCGATTGTCGCTGTGGCATCTCTGAAGGTAGCTGTCGCTTCGCTAATTGTCGCTGTCGCGGCCGTCCGGGATGCTGTCGCATGGTGGGAAAAGAGTAACAAGATCGCATGGCGAACCTTAGGGCGGAATATTCGTAGAGTCAAACAACCTGTAGTTTCAGTTTCTCCCGTTCCTCATCAGGCCGCACGGCTGTTGAAATATGAACTTCGCAGTAGGCACGAAGCGTTATTCTGCAACGGAAATCCCGAAACACCTAGAACCACCATGGTTAGTTTTGAAGCGGATCGGAAACAAAGAAATGGGAGTGTCAGCTCAGCAGCACAGATGGATGGATGGAACCAAGTGGGATTTGCTTCGCCGCAGCGCGGAATCATCAGTGGAGTGTCTGCGCAGCTAGTGTCAGAAGGCAGCGTCCGCGATAAGAGTACAAATTGTAAGCGTCATCGACGGGATGCAAACCTTAAACCAGCTTTGGATGGCATACAGCATTTGCAAACATTAAGACCAAGAAGCTCTACAAGAAATAATGCAACAAACGGGAAATCCTCTGTTCTACTGTCCCTCCAATAATATCTAGCAACCAAACAGTTCCTGCAATAGCTGAAACTCAGGGCTATTGATGAAAAAAAAGTATTTTTGATTAATTAAATCAAAGAATTTTTCTATGGTACACAAATCGTATTTTAGTAGTTACTACTGGATGGGAAGTAAAAATGCAATCCAGCCCACCGTACGATGCACCTGCAATCAGCTGTTCAGGGGAACTCCTGCACGGGCATCACCTGCCTGGCGCGGCCATACGCGGTGTAAGCGCAGTCCACAGCAAGCACATCGCTCGCTTCGTAAGACCGCGGCGTGCCATCCAGGAACCCTTGTCCCTCCGCGCTGTCGGCGGAGATCGGACGGTGCAGGCTCGCGATCAGCTTCTGGAAGTCCGCGGCGCGCTGCGAGTGGTCGTCGCGGTACGTCTGCCCGAGCACGCCGTGGATCGCGTCCGTGTGCTCCAGCTCGACAATCCCCACGTTGATGTGCGCCTCGGCGTCGCTCGGCGTCTGCAGCTTCGGGTGCGCCACGCGCAGGCGGAGGTCGAGCGAAATCAGGCCGTCGATCGTCAGCAGGTAGTAATCCACATCGAACGGCCCCTCCTTCTCCAGCCCGCGGAACTGGATCGTCAGCCCGCCGTCGCTCGTCACGCTGTCGCCCACCTGCATGCGCGGGATCGCCTCGCCGTCAATCTCGATGCTCTTCACGAACCCCTCGCCGCGCTCCTGCTGCTTGCCGCCGCGCGCCGCGATGCGAACCTTGTGATCAACGCCCTTAGCGGTCCAGACAATGCCGAGCTCCTTAATCCACGTGTGCACGGCCTTACCGTCGACGACTAGCGCCGCGTTGTCGGTGCGGTCGTCCGAGTAGTACCCGCGCAGCAGCATGTTCACGTGCAGGTCGCGGTCCGTCAGCAGGCAGAAGGCCTTGTCGGGGCGGCCGTTGAAGTCGAAGTGCGTGCCGTACGCGCCCACCAGATGCGGGTCGTTGAGAATCTTGGCGCTCGGGTTGCACTCGCCGCCGATGCGCACCTGCAGCGGCACGGGCTTCGTCTCCGTGCTGTACTGCGCGGTCATCTCGCCGCACGTGAAGTCGATCTGATCGTGGATCAGGTAGCACGCGCCCTTGCCCTTCTTGCCGTCGATCGTGATATCGGGAATGTACTGCCAGTACGTGCACAGCGGCGTCGCGGCGCACGTGTTGCAGCACGACGCGGGGTTCGCCTTGAGGAGAGTCAGCGGGTTACCCGGCACGTACAGCTCGTACCCGAGCTTGTTCTTCTGCAGGTACGCCGTCTTCCACTTGGCGGGAATGCCGCCCTTGGAGCAATTCTTGGGCGTGCACGCGCCGGCGAGCTCCTTGTTCAAACCCGGCGGGCATTTCTGCGCGTTCCACCCGGCCTTCTTCACGTCCGCCATGAAGAACGTGTCCTGCGCCGTGTCCACGTATGTCACTCCCGCCGCGTCGCCCGCCGCCGCCTGCTTCGCGATGGCCGCGGGGATTTCGGTCATGAGCCCGTCGTCCTTCTTGCTGCTCGCGTCGGGCTTCTCGTTCGCCGTCGAGCTTGTGATGGGGCTCCCGGCGCGCGCTGTCACCATCAGCAGCGCCAGGGAGAGCGCGAAAAGCGCAGCCCGAGCCATTCTGACGTTCTTGAAAGTAGAATGGGAATGATACTCTCTATATGATGGTGTGCGGAATGGGTGAATGAATGAAAGAATTGCAGACCCAGGGAATGTTATTACTCTAATCTGTGTCTCGTGCTGCTGCGTTGTTGAGATGGTGTAACAATTCTATGGGCGGACTTTATATGTACTAACGGATTGAAGGGGGGTTGGTGTGTGCGTCTCGTCCTTCCTGCTGCGCTCATTCCTATGCAAAACCATTTGGCATGGCGCAAATGCCGAAGCGCAGAGTGAAACCTGCGTCAGGCATCTGTTTTATCTGCGAGTCCGCTGAATGGAGACGCAGATACATTTGGCACGTGGATAACCGTACTTTACTGTACAGAGCCACGTTTTGTTGGTCTGTGCATGACCGAAGTTTTGAATGTCCAGTACGAAAATCCTCCGCTGATTTTAAGCAAACTTCAGCCCCTCAAAACGCTAATCTAGTTACAATGTACATACTTGTACACTACCAACAATTGTTTGTGTGTGCTGCCCAGGATTTGACATACCTGACTAGTCACAGGTGTGTTCGCGCTTGCCTTGCGAGTTGGTTCGATCGACGACAGTACAATACACCCACGATGCAACTCCTGGACCAGGCCTGTCGAAGTTTCTGGGGCTCGTACTTGGACTCCCCAGCTCCTCCCCATCTGACCCTTGGTTGGGTGTAGGTGAGCGTTTTGGCGCCCTTAACGGTCACGGGCGCACCCCAAAGTGAAAACTTGAAATCCGGGCATGTATTGGACGCTAAGGGCGTGTGTGATTTTGGAAATTGGCTAAGTTTACAATTTTTTTTGTCGAATGTAGCATTTGAACTTGAGCCGAACAGTGTTCGACTACCGCTGAACGTGAAGTCTGAACCGCGCAAAATATTTTCAGGAATGTCAAATCACACACCCAAGGTCGAATTTGAATGTTGGACCTTATAGGGGGTGCGCCGAGCCGCTCGTAGGGGATGTAGGTTACCAGGTTTTATTCCGTAGACATCGTGCCACGTCAACATACTGACTGTGGTTTTCGTCGGAGGTTTTATTGCATCGCAAGTTGTCGCCAAATTCGCCACTCTTCGTACTTGCGCAAAACAACACACGTTCGGCTCACTGTACGCGCCCGCATTTATGCATTGACTCGAGTCGAGTTCGGAAAAGTTGGGTCGCATTTGCCAAGTGTTCAAGGGAAAAACTTTCGTCACACGGCTTTTGCGCAATTGACGAAGCTGGTAACAAAAAAAAGTTGACCTGTTTTTCGAACCTAGAATAAAATCACAAACGCCCTAAGGGAATGTTGGGTGCTCCAAGGCTGACTGAGATACTCTACACACACGAAATTTGCTAGAAAACGCTAAGGGAAAAATCCACTTGGCGCGCTCTCGTGCAGGCTAGGGAGAAAGGGGGGAAGGGGGGGGGGGGGGGTCTCTGGTGTTGGGCTGAGATAGCCCCTTAGGATCTTTTCAGGGGAGAACTCTGGATAGGACAATTGTAATAGCGGAAGCTTTCAGTGAAGAAATTGTGAACCACCTTGCGCTAGTATGTGAGGGCAAAGTAGATTGATTATAACAAGAGAGTACAAGAATATATAATAATGTAGGAAATATCAAGGGATACAGTTATAACTGCTTTTGCTGTTGCTGTTGCGGTTCGATACAGTACGACTCGGGCAACTGCTCTGTAGCGAGTCAGTTGTATGTCCTTAACTGTCGCGCTGTACTTGTCGGGTCAAAGATCGCTGACCTTTGACTTTCGCGTAACCTCCAGCAACCTCTTCAACCCCCGAGGGTTGACTCGCGGGTGCTTCGGTGTAGTTTGCCTCGCTTCTGATGCGGTGTTTTCGACACGACTGAAGCGCTTAAGTTTTATTGTTTCCAACACTCCCCTTCGCTTCTGGAGTGTCGCTGCTGGTGACGTGGCTTTGTCCAGTCAGCAGCATGCAATACTCGAACTTTTGCTTTCCGAGTTTCTTGGTCAAGTAGTCAGCTGCCATCTCGGATGTGGGGCAGTATGACAGCTCGAGTCTCCCCTTCTCGATCTCGTCCTTCACGAAGAAGTAACGTAGGGCAATATGTTTCGTCCTGTTCGCGAAGCCGTTCTTGTTGGCGATGCGAATTGCTGACTGGTTGTCGCAGAACACGTTAAAGTTGGGTAACTCAGCTAACTTCGCTTCTTCCAGCAGCTCGCGAAGATAGAGTCCTTCTTTGGTGGCTGAGCAGAGTGCGATATATTCTGCTTCAGCTGAAGATAGCGCGATTAACTCCTGCTTGCTTGACTGCCAGGAGATAGGACCGATAGGCTCGAGGCGGTAGACGTAGCCGGCGCGTGAGCGCCTGTTGTCGGTGTCGCCGGCATGATCGGCATCGACGTAGCCGATTAACTTGGTCGGTGTAGCTGCGTTCTTATGATAAGTTAGGCCGATCGTCGCGGTGCTGATGAAGTAGTGAAGAGCGCGGTCAAGTTCCGCCAGGTGTTCTGCTTCAGGCTTCTTGAGATAAGTGGCGAGCTGGCTTGCGGAGTAGGATAGGTCGGGTCGGCAGGTGACGGCTGCGAAGAGAAGGCAACCTAGCTTCCTCTGATAGTCGCGTATGCCGGCGGGCTTAAGTACAGCAGATTCCTTGTCGGTTCCTGTCGTGTAGCGGTATGGTGTTGAGATCGCGGCTGGCGTAATACTGAATCGTTTGGCGATGGTGTCGGCGTACTTCTCGGCGCTGAGGTAGATCGCGTTGTTATCTTCTCGAATGTTAAGTCCGAGGTACTGTGTGACGGTAGATAAGACAGTGAGGGTGAGGTCCTTCTGCAGCTCCCCTTCGAACCAGGTGGTGATGCCGTCGGTAGAACCGATGTAGAGGAGATCGTCCACATAGACGATTAGAAGAATGTAGTCAGTGTTCTTCGTGAGGCGGTACATGCCCTGATCGTGCGGGAGTTGTTTGAAGCCGATGCGGATGAGGCGAGCATGCAGGTACTGTTGCCACAGTCGCGGCGCCTGTTTGATCCCGTAGAGCGATTTTAGTAGCTGGCAGACGTGCGTGGAATTTGTATTAGAGCCGTGCGGTAGTTCCACGAAAATCTCTGCATCGACCGGTGCGTAGAGAAATGCGTTCGCGACGTCGATTTGGCGCAGTTTCTTCTTCTTCATAGCGGCGATGGCGAGAAGAATTCGAAGTGAAGTGTGGCGGCTGACCGGAGCGAAGGTTTCAGTGAAGTCTCGTCCATGTTCCTGGTCGAAGCCGCGAACGACCCAACGTGCTTTGAACTTGTCGACGGTGCCGTCGGCCTTGGTCTTCACACGGAAGACCCATTTCCCGGTAAGAATGGTCTTGTTTCGCGCTACGCCGATGGGAACGACTTTCCAGGTGTTGCGCTCCTCTAATGCCTTCAGTTCCTTGTCCATGGCTTCGCGCCATTTTTCTTTATGCTCCCCCCCCAGAGCCTGCTGAACCGTTGCAGGCTCCTTAGGAATGTCAGCGCCGTGGACCGCGGTGACGAGCCCAAGGATTTGGAGTCCGCTCTGTGTGTAGCGGGGGAGTGTGGTGTCCTCGGGATAGACTGCCTCGTCTCCAGCTTCTGGATCAGGTGCGAAGTTGGGCCCTATGCGTTCTGCTTCGTTGGTGTTGACTTCAGCAGGTGTAACGTAACCGTTGTCGGCGAAGTGGTAGTAGGTTTCGGCGTTGACGCTTTCGCGAGGGTTATCTTTGTCCATCGGTACGTCCACTGAGCAGTAGGGAAGAGGTCCGGCTTCTTCCGAGGCTCCTTCCACGTTCTGCTCGTCCCAGTCAGCTTCGTCTTCTGCCGAAGCGAAGGCTCGATCGCCACGGAAGCCACCTGTGGGGTCTCGATTTTCGTCCAGGTTGGCAAGGTATGTTGGCAGTGTGAGCCGCTCGTAGAAGATCACATCACGTGCTGCTACTGTTTCCTTGCTGTTGATATCGAAGATCTTCCATGCGTTGTAATGTTTTTCGATGCCCAGGTGTAGTCCCCACTGTGCGCGTTGGGAGAATCGGCCGGCTCGTGCAGATGGGGGTCGGTACTGTACCATGCAGCCGAAGACTCGTAACATTTTTGTGCTGCCCAGTTTCCCTGTCCACAGCAGATGCGGTGATGTGTTGTTCGGGAGTGACGACGAAGAAAGCAAATTGTGCAGCATCACGGCGTGGTCCATTGCTTCGGGCCACTGGTGGTTGGGTAGCCGCATGCCACGTAACAGTTTGCGCATGGTGTTCTGCAGGGTCCTGTTCATCCTTTCTGCTACACCCTGCTGTTGATGGGCGTAGGGAAGGGAGATGAGTCTCTTGATTCCCTTCTCCGCCAGGTACTGCTTGAATCGTTGTGACGAGTATTCTCCTCCTCCGTCTGATTGAAAACTTTTGAGTTTAGCTCCCGATTCCCGTTCTGCTGCTGGAAGCCATGCCATGAAAGCTTCGAAAGCCATGTCGCGACTTGGTAAGTTTAGGTGCCAGACGTAACGTGTAGCGGCGTCGATGAAGGTGATGGTGTAGTTATACGCGTTTTGTCCGGGTTCGCGGTTGTACAGGATGTCGCTGTACACTTTCTCGAGTGGTGCATATGCGGGTGCGCTTGGATTGTGATGCGAGACGAAGGGTTGATGCGGTAAGTCGGCTTCAGGACAGGTGAAGCATGTCCCTCGTGCTCGTTGAAGTTCTCGTCCGTCTGTTAAAAGTAAAGAGTCCTTGTCGAGTACTCCTGCTCGAATCGTGTTGTTTAACACAGTGTTGCTTGGGTGTCCCATTCTTGCGTGCCAGATTTCTTCGTTGGCGCGATGACCGGGTGAGCGCCGATACATGTCGGAGTTGGAGAAGAGACCAGCGGTGAAGCTGGGACTGTGATGAAATTCTCGTGGTGCTGGCTGGAGCTGTTGTGCAGGTGTTGGTGGTGCATCGTCGTTGAGGAACGCCGTCGTTGAAGGACCGGCGACTGGTGTCGTCGTTGTCGCTGTTGCTGCCGATGATGTTTCTACTGCTG